TATGTTGATGTGTAGCACTTTCCCTTGCTGTGAGAAGCGTCGTAGGTTGATGTAGTCCCGCTTGCTGCTTGTCCCTTCGCTGCTGGAGTCCAGGCCCACAAACACCTCTAAGGCTGACGTCTGGAGTGTCTTGCCAGTGTTTTCTTCTGAGTATTTTGTGGCTTTAGGTCTTATATCCAGGCCTTTAATCCATTTAAAATTAATTTTTGTGTATGGCTGAGAGAATGGTCTAGTTTCATTCTTTCATATGTGGCTGTCCTGTGTCATTTTGAGTTATTGTTTAACTATTGTATGTCAGTTTACCGTTTAAACGAGAATATGTATTTTTTAAGTGAAGAATTAAGTGAGTGGACTACTAGATATGCATCTGTGTGTCCTTCATATTATTAGCTGGACTTCTGGTGCCTTACTGAAGCCTTTCTAAGCTACACACCCCATCTGTTCCCATAATTCCCTGTGCCTTGGGTCCTGAGTGGCCATTCCCTGTCTCCTGACGAGACCCACTATGGATCTAGGGCTCCTCATGGCAACTGTCATGGTTACCAGCATGGTGCCACAGTTGCTCAAAATTTTGTTTGGTAAGATATCATTCTGCAGTGATGCTTTATTAACTCCCCCGTGGAGCCAGGAGGTACTAAATAGATGATCTCTTTATCCCTGTGACTTGCCATAATACAATTTGATAGTATGCGATATGACGTCAAGAGCCTGAAACCGGCTAGATGGGGAAGTAACACATGGTTAGGACACGGTGTGTGAGTGTGGACGTGGCGTCTGCCATGCTGCTGGTGCGCGAAGCGGCGGGCTCACTGCTCTGCGAATCCCACCTGTTTGCTCCTAGGGGTGGTTCGTGGTAGGCGGAGTTAGCTGTCTTCTAAATAATTAGCAAACTGAAATTGAGATGAGCTTCTGTAACTTGCCAAGGTCACATTGCTAGCTAGTGACGAGCTGCCGTGCGAATTCTTCCCCCGTTAATTCCAAGCCTTTGATTTTTACCAACACGGTGAGCAACCTGTGTTACGAATTTAAAATGTTTCCATGTCATGAAGCCAACTTCTTAGGAGGAAGTAAGAGCCTGGAGAGGTGGTATGGTACTGTTGGGGCAGGTTTTGGGTGTGACCTGCATTGCACCCCATTTACCATTGTGCCCCAAGATTTGATAGCGCAAAGGTGCTGCCAGAAAGCTGGACACACTGTCCCTAGAATCTCCTTTGAGAGATGCTGCTCCAGGGTAGGTGCTGCCACCGCGTGCACCTGGGGGAGCTGAATAAGCACAGGGTGGGGGTGGTGGTGGCAGGGATGAACCAGTGCGCCCCTCCCCCACCCCCATTGGTAAGCTCTGCCTCCCTGGCTCTGTGCCAAATTGGCCTGTGGTCTAGGTCAGCTGCAGAGTAAGGGGAGGCTGCACTGGGGCCACCGTGTCAGAGGAAAAGATCGCACTGACACTGTTAAATGCAGACGAGAGTCTGCCTGCGCCACCTCCACGGTTTGAGACCGTGGGCACTTGAGCAGGGGAGCACCGGGCCTCTAGCTCGGGGGTGAGCTGAGACGGTGTCCAGGGTCCGGCGTTTTCAGAAGTGCGCTGGCGGTAGCCGAGTACTGGGTCAGAATCATTCCCTCCGTTGTCTCTGGGTTCAGTCGTTGAGCCCAGGGCGCACGTGGATGACAAGTCTTTGAAGACCTAGGCTGGGCCATGAGGGGACCCCAATTCCTGCCGGACTCTGGTGCCTTGTAGGGCTCCCTTACCCGCTCCACCATGCAGGGCAGTGAGAGAAGCTGCCTTCTGTCGCTACAACTCACTTCCTCTGCAGTGTGAAGTAAGTTGGTGCTGAGTTGGGACTGGGCGTCCCTGTCCCCTAGGAAGTGACATAAGAGCCTCAACTCCATAAAGACCAAATAACCAAAACAAAGTCAAAACCCAAACCCAAACCCACCAGTCCCTACTGTGTAGACCAGCTCAAGGCAATGGCTGGGCTGCAGCGACAGTGGCCGGGAGCCCACGGGCAGCGAACCCTCAGCTGCTAGACTGGCCTTCCCTCCTTGGGGGTCAGGCCTGGTCCTGATGCCATTTCTTTTTTCTTTTTTCTTTTTCTATTTTTTAAATGTTTTTCCCCTTTCTGAAATGCAGGACTTAATTTCAAAGGGCGTGAACCCGAACCTACGGGCCCCAGCCTGTGACTGCGGACGCTGTTCTGCCCTGTGCTTGGTCGCCACATATAAAGGGCCCCTGGTCTCCCAGTCCCAGAGACACCGTTCTCACTGGCTGACCCCACCCCACCTGTTTTTAAGTTTTGGTTATGGGGTCCCCCACGGCCAATACCAGTTTTTGTGATCCCTTGGCATGGATTAGGCTGTGACAGAGACCCTACCACACAGCAGAGGCTTAAGTAGAGCAAGTTAATGTTTCCCTTCCGTAAAGATGTTTCTGGTGAGGTCCAGGCAGACGGGACAGCAACGTGCTGTTTGATGGGCCAGCACGCCCCTCCCCCCCAGTCTCCGCTCTCTTGGAGTCAGGGCTCGCTTGTAGCCTGGCGTGGGGTGGCTGAGGCTCATGTCCCAGTCCACAGGAGGGAGACACAGACAGGTGCGGCTTCTTGGGGATGTGGGCATGCGTGGCTACTTGAGTCACTGCCATTTGTGAGAAACAGCCGAGCAGAGCCGCGAGGCACTGGGACGGTCGCTGCTGGGCAGTCATGGCCTCCTGAAGCCTGGCTCGCTGGAGGGGGTGGCGGGGTGGGCCTCAGCCTGTGTCCATTGTCTAGGGAGCCCGCGCCTGCCGGGCTGGGGTTTACATTCTTGGGATTTGGATTTCTTTTTTTTTTTCCTTTTTCCTTTTTTTTTTTAAAGATTTATTTATTTATTCATACAAGCACTGGGCACAGTCAGAAGCGCGGGAGGGTGAGACAATTCACCAGAGCCAGAGCGGGGAGCAGAGCAGGCAGAAGGACCGAAGGACACTGCTGAGGGGAGCTACAGGTTACCGTATTTTCTTTCAATTCGTGATGAAATTTTTCATTTTGTTTGTGAGTTTTTTTTTGTCATGTAGAAATTTTAACTTTTTTATACTCTAAGAAGTGTGGATCTTTTAATCATTCTTTGACGCAAGTGCACTTTGCATTTGCAGATGTGACAATAGTTACTCGTGTCAGCGCTGCGCTGGAGGTCGCCAGCAGACCCCGTGACTGAGAGGCCCACACACCCTTGACGGATGCTCCACTTTTAAATTTCGATTTAAAAAAGAGATGTTATTTTTAAAGGAAAAACCAAAACCATCCGTTTGCCTCATTTCATCATTAATTTTGTGATCTAACAGGATCTACAATTATTGGTAGTTTTTGTGACCACACAGTGAATGGTTCTCAAAACTATTCATTTGTCAAAACCCTCCTCTAAATTTCACTTTTAATCTAGAAGACTTGCGTCACATGCTGTGGGAGTGAGGTGGAGTTGGGTGGGAGCCGGCGGCTGCTCGGCGTATCCAGAATCAGTGAGAACGTGGTCTGGCCCTGGCAGGAGTCAGGGCTCCAGATGCTGATTTACAAACCAGTAAGTCAGAGGAGACTTGAAACCCGGATAATAATCAAGTTCTTCAAAGAAGGGCTCGTTCAAGCCTTCAGGGCAGAGACTGTATCTGGGAACTGGAAGGAGCCTGTTCTGGGGCGGGCGTTGGGCCACCTTCTCCTGTAAGAGCCCCACGGGATGGGGCCTTTTCTCCTTTTCCAGGTGCTTGCGTGAGGCCGAGGTGAGTAAGCTCAGGCTGCAGAGTGGGTACTAGGTGTGACAGGTGTTGGGGTTGCCCTGCCCACGGTCCCCATTCTATCTCCCTGCTTACCAAAGAGAGCCAGCCGCCCACTCATGGGAAGAGGGCGTCCTTGGAGGCCCTGTGGGGTGGTGTGGGGAGACAGCTGGGGAACCTGGGCACCGGTCAAGAAGGCAGGTGCAGGCGGGGCTGGCACTGGGACCCACCACATCCCATTTCCTGAAGTTTGGTGATGAAAGGAAGAACTCGGAGAATTGTAATAATTCTGGGGGGTTTGGGGGAGCATGGTGCAGAAAGGTCTAAGCGAGTTTTGAGTCAGGGAAATTGTTGAAGGAAGAGCATGGAGTTGCACTGGGGGCCCCTCAGGGTGGGGGTGTGATCATGTGCAGAGATGTGGGCAAAACACTGAGTGGGCATCGCTGCATCCATTCAAGAGAGAAGAGGGCTTGCAGAGACTTTGCTCAGGGTGGCCCTCCCCTCCTCCCCAAGAGCGTGAGCGAGGGGTTTGGTTGGTGTCTGGAAGATAATCGCAACAGGCAGCAGGGGGAGGGTGTGTTCTTTTCTGTGATGCAGCTTTTGGGAAGAGGGAGACCCATAGGAAACAGGGAGGGCTCTGAGCTAATGGGAACTTTGATTCGCAAAGTTGTGAAGAAGCCTTTTAGGGAGTCACATTGAAACATGTTTGTTCTATAGACAAAACTGCTGTAACCTGGGGCCTCCCTGGTGCGCTCCCTGGTGGCGCAGGGGTTAAGTCTCAGCACCATGAAGCTGTTCGCAGCCACTACAGCAGAGTTCCATCTCCCAGCTGGCCAGGGAGCTGCCCACAGGGCGCAGCAGACCTCTCCTGTCACCCCGCTGCTCCCCTCAGCCGTGTATTTCAGTAGATCTGCCTATTCTGTTCCCCACTCTGTCTCTGGTGAATTCTCTCACCCCCCGCACCTTTGGCCTGTACCCCAGCTTTTGTATGCATAAATAAATAAATCTTTAAAAAGAAAAACTGCTGTGACCCTGAAAATAAGGTTCTTAGTGGTCATTTCTGAGAGGAGCCCGCTGGGCATGCTGTGGTGGTGACCCCCTTGCGTGGACTCGGTGCCAGCGCGGCTGTGCCATGTGCACGTTGCTGTGTTGGCGTGTCCTTTCTGTCACTTGTCCTTTCTCCTTTGCAACTTGGGCTTTAGGAATAACTCCCCAAATGCTGGTGGCAAAGCAAAAATGACCTGTTCTTTTGTTTACTATCAAGCAGAAGTCAAAGAGCAGTCTGCAGAAGAGGACGCCGGAGCAGAAGTGGACAGCAGCAGGCAACTGGCCCCAGGCCTTCAGCGCTCTGTGTCCGAGGAATCCGCCAGCTCCCTGGTCTCTGTTGGCGTGGAAGCCAAAATCAGGTCAGCGGACGCGTGGAGCTGGGCGGGAGGTCAGTGAGAGGCACGAGGGCAGCGAGTTGGCCCCAGAGGGATGCAGAGGGCGCAAGCGTCGGGTGTGATCTGGGTGGGGTTTTATTATTCAGTCACTTTAACTTTGGGGCTGGCAGCGCTGTCTGTAGCTGGGGTCGGACTGCGCGGGCTGTCACAGGGCATGCCCCGGCCGCCACTCTGGGCCCGGGGACCAGGCTGAAACCGCCCTTGCGGTCCTAGTAGAGGAGCACCGGCCTGAGGGTTCACCTGCTCTTCCAGGCCACCTGTTAAAGAAGGTCCTGCTGTTACTCTTAGTTCTCTCGGTCGCAGCCTCTCCTTGGCTCGTGGGCCACATGCGGTGGCGGGCTTGGGTCACTATCCCCTCACTGTTGCGTGGAGCTCCTTTCATGGGCCCCTGCCCCCCTCGTTTATTCATTTCCTGGCAGCAGGATCCTTGGGGAGTTTCTAGTTCTGGGCAGTGATGAATGTAATTGGGATAAATATTCATGCTCAGTGTTTGGTATAAATGTAGGTTTTCACCTAGGAGAGGTGATTGTCAAGGAAGTGCCAGAATGTTTCCTAGCGCAGCTGTGCCTTTTAGTTTCGTGGGCTCTGCCCTTGGTGGCCCAGGTCCCAGCTTCTACAGGTGGAGGTCCTACCCTATCCCCGCTGCTCCCCCTTCGGTTGTTGGCCCTGCAACTGCATCTTTGGCCTCCTTTAGCCTGCTCCCTGGGGAGAGTGAGGGGGTGGCTGGAGCTGGTGTCTCACCTATTTGGCGGCTGCTACCCTCCCCCAATCCTCCCTCCCCGCCGTCCCCCAGGCTTGGTCTGCAGGTGTTCCAGGACCTCACCTGGTGAGGGGTGGAGAGGGCACGGGTTCGTGGCCCTCCGATGTTCTGTGTTCTCTCGCTGGCCCTTCAGCGATCTCTGAACTTCCTGCTGAATCCTCAATGTCCTGTTGGACGCCGTGGCCTCCTCCTAACTTGAGCGGGTGCTTCATCCACAGGCAGGCGATGCTTCTGCCCAGGTGGGTTTCTGTTGTGAGGATGGGTCTGTGTCTCCGCACCTCACCATGTCCGAGCAGAGGACAGGCCTCCCCCTCGGGATCAACTGTAAACCACACAGATGGGTGACTCCCCCTACCTTCCTGCCTCTCCCACCTTTCCTGATTATTCATCAGATTATTTGAGTACTTCTAGAAGAAGAAGTACTTTGTGGCTCAGTTCTGTGGTGAGATTTCTGAGGTGTTACAAGCCCGGGAAGATTTCGTCCATGTGTGAGCGGTGTGGGGTGTGCAGTGCAGGCCCGAGCTCCTTTGCTTCATCAATAGCTCTGTGTCGTGGATAAGCATCTGCCATTCTGATGGCTGCTCTGTGTAGGTGATGTTTTTGGGGAAGAAACAGATTGGACATCTGGCGTGCTGAAAGAAATGGAAGCTTAATAGCTTAGAAAGTGATAAAAATTAAAATGCTAGTGAAAGATTCAGTTAGTAGTTTCTTTTAGGCAAAACCAAAAATAACTCTTTCCTAGTTGCCTTTAGTTTTCTGAAGATGGACTGTGTACGGGTGTGCGCGCCTATTACATGCGTATATACAACACGTGCAAAATCATGCAGAGTGAACATGCCGTCAGCAGTCAGATACAGCCTCCTGCCCGCCTGCTGTGGAGAGCCCTCTTCCTAGCCTTAGCTTTGCCTTTTTCATTCTCTTTTCATACTTTGATTTTCTTGAATTAGATTTAGAAGAAAATTCTTTTTTCAAGAATAAACTAGTATTTTTTGTTCTGGTCATCACTCTAAAAGCTATACTGTGGGCCAGGAGAGTGACCAGTGTGCAATTGCTGCCAGACTTTACGGTTCTTACGGTGCAGGCGTGTCTAAAAGCTCAGTTTGCACTAAACAGTCTTGAATTTTCAAGCATGACTGCCTGGAGTGGCCTGTCCCTTACAACAGTTGAATAAACCACTCTGTCCTCTCTGTCGCCCGGCTTTGCCTCCCACCAGTGACCAGCTCTGCGCCTTTTGTTATTGTGGCGAGAAGAGCTCCTTGGGACAAGGGGACCTGAAGCTGTTCCGGGGGACACCTGGGCTCACCTGGCCAGGGAGGAACCCACCTTCCAACAAGAAGGACGCCAGTGACAACAGCCACGGAACCTGCGAGAAGACACAAAACTCAGCACCACGGAAGCAGAGAGGACAGAGAAAGTGAGCCATTTTGAATGTAAATGTTTGGGCGCACCCAAAGTTCATTCTCAGGACAGTGTGTGTGTGTGGGAGCCCGAGGCTGTTCCTGAGCGGCTCCTCAGCCCCCTGGAGCCTCTGACCACTGTCAGCACAGACACGCCTTTCCGCAAAGCTGCTCATTTAAGAAAAAAGATTGTTGTCTTAACTGTACATTAGCCAAATCCGTGTGATCACAAAAGCTAACTTTTAGAGGAAAACTTTAAAAACTTACTGCAGCTGCTTAGGTGCTGAGAGGTAGTTGATGGAATTTGTATGTGAGTGGAAAGAAGGTAAAACCTGAGGTCTTCTTTCCTCTAAACAAGTTTTGACTGTCTGTGAGAGGGTAACAGTGACTCATGGCCTGCGTTTGTCATTTATTTTGTTAGTTTTAGGGTTCAGAGAATGTTGACCTGTCCCATAAGCTCTTGTGATGACAGTTTTAACTTCATAAGTATTGTATGCCAAGAAGACCCATTATACGTTAAAGAAGATGCCTCCCCTTGCGTGAAGTAGGAATGATGGAGCTGTGTGTGTCCAGCGTGGACAGTCATCTCAGCCGCTCAGAACCCCTGTCTAGCATGTTCTCTTTCTGAGTTAAATTTTGTTACATGTTTTAGAGTTCTCTTTAAAGACCATCTTTGTATGTGAGCTTAGCTGTGGAGGTTGAGAGAGTAGAAGTTTCTGTTCCATGAGAAAGTGTAGAAATTACTTTAGTGTGGAAGGCGGGCCAGCCCTGCCCCTGGAGGCATGACGTAATTGTGGCCTCCCCTGGCCCCCATCCAGACCCAGCACCAGGCCTTGTGCGCGTTCTTGCTTGATTGGCTGCTTCTTTTGGACAGCTGCCATTGCCTTGAAGACATGAAGTAGGAAATGAAACAATAACAAGAATGAGAATATTTAAAAAGAATTTAAGGTGGAACTGCTTAAGGGAGCTTAGAAGCGGAGCTTAGTCTTGAGGCTTTGTGGGCACCGCTCACGGTCAGCTGCACTTTCACGTCCCAAGAAAACATGCTCCAGTCCTGCACACTCATGTCCACCAGTGATTTGCAAATCTGCTGGACCGGGCCGCTTTAGCTTCATGGCCTACCTTGTGTAACGGCGATCTTAGAATCACTGATTCCGGGCAAGCCAGTGGGGCTTCACCTACTTATTTTATGAGCTAAGTTAATTTTTAGTGAAAACTTGCATGGGCTAAGATAATTGTGTAAAAAGTAACCTTGGTTTAATGACAGTATATATATACTTAGTGTTTACCAAGTTATTAAGTAATGATAAACTATTTAATGAACCTTAGGAATGAAATTTATAAAATTTGGGAATCATTTAGGGATAGACAGGTAATTTATCTGGGTAATGATTTTAAACATTTACAAAATACATTGCTAATGAGCTATAAGCCAGATAAACAGTTAACTTTTTTTAATTGAAAAGGAACTTTTAAAAGTACTTTTTCCCTCTTGGTGGCACTAAATAGAAGAGCATAATCAAGGTTCTTCCTCTTACCTTTTGTTAAGGCCGAAAGTTCTGTGGGATGTATTTCAGGTGACTTGCCCTGCTGTTCTTGACAAGCCGGGCTGCTGTTGCCTAGGGGTCACAGCAGCACTAGCTGAAGTGGATGTGCACACCACCCCGAGGGAGGCTCTCGGCACAACTGCTGGTTAGGGCCTGGTCAGTCACAGGCGGGGCTGGTCACTCCATTGGTTTTTATACCCATGTGCCCAGCCCTGCCACCAAATACCGATGCAAAGAAAACAGTTCAGACGGGAGTCTTTTTTTCCCTCCTCCCACAAAATAACAGTGATAAATAATGAATATATTTGTAGGAATGGATGTTACAGGGCAAAATTCTCATCTCACTGTGGGCAGTTAAAATGAGAACTTTCTCCTAAAGTTAGCATAGCAGGCTAAATTTTTTAAAAAGTGAGTGTGCATTTCTAAAATGCTGGACATAAGCATTTCTGGTTACTTTTGTATGATTTGACATTTAGAACTACTTGTTTAGACCTGCTCACTGGGATGTGTCAATTCTTGCTACATTTCAGCACGTCCAGGCGTAGAGTCTAGTGTGCTGGCTGCAGTGTGGACTGCTTTTACTAGGTGTCCAGTTCCCAGATGCGCCGGCTGAGGGTCTGCTCTCAGTAGGGGGTTGGTTCAGAGTTGTGACTGGGTCACACACTTAGGACAGTTGGGCCACCTCATTCCCACACTTAATGTTCAGCATGAGTGGTTATTGGCCCTGAGCATTTACCTGATGACCCCGGTCAATCCTAAGAGCTGTGTGGGGCCTGGGATCGCCCAGGTGTCCCTGTCTTGCTCAGTCTTGGCTTCCATGCTGTAGGTTTTGCTGTTACACTGCTAACTCTCAGCCTTGAGCTGCTGTTTTGTTTCTGCGTCTCATTCCTGACTGAGCAGTCGTTGTAGAGAGAACGTGTGCTTCGTACCTCAGGCCAGCTATCTTGCTGTGTCCAGGACTGGGGACCCCAAGTGACACCTTACCCTCCCACTGCCCCCACTTCTCACATTTACCCTGGAAATAACCTTTCTTTACACAAAATGAACTGCTGGCTCTGACGTGGCAGCCCTTCTTGATGAAAAAGCAAATTTAAATGGTTATGATCAGGTTACGTTTTAAAAGCATTTCAGTAAGCCAAAGGGAGTATTCTTTTTACATGATAAAATAGTCTGACCAGAATATTTTAGAGTGTCAGTTTTTTAAAAAATTATGGAATGACAAAGTAAGTTTGCAACTGTAATTTGTAACACTCCTCTATGGACTTGAGGGAGACTTCCTTTTTGTTACAGGCCATGGGGTAGCCACCCAGCTTCCTATTATATTATGAATAATAAAAATGGTGAATTCCAGAAGTTTTACAGTTACCTATACCTAATAGAAATTGATTTGGCCACACATCGTATTTGTCATAAATTGAAACAATTTTCTGTTTGTCTAATTTTCACCTTTATTTCCCCCAGAGAGCGATCTCCTCAGCAGAACGCCGTGTCTTGTGTGAGCGTGAGCACGCAGACTGCTTCCGAGGAGCAGGCTGGTAAATTATGGGACGAACTCAGCCTGGTTGGCCTTCCAGATGCCATTGCTGTAGAAGCCTTGCTGGATCCTACAGGTATGAGCCAGTCTTCAGAAAGAACCTCCTCTTGATTATATAAGCATTTTAAATTTAGTGAATTATCAGTTTAGTAGTAAATACCTTTCATCTAGAAATAATTGTGATCACATTGTTAAAAAACATCATTGTTAAGTACACCTGCTTAGGTCCAGTTGTCTGATCTTATTTACCTGATCGATGTAGCACCTGATGCTGACGCCGGGCTACATGCTTTCCCAAGTATTCCCACTTTGCTGTTGTGTATACAGCAGGGCCGGGGCCATCTGATGATTGAGGAAAGAGAAAATTTTAAAGGGGCCCTAGAACCAGGGAGGCGTGGCAGCCTGGTGGTTTGACCTGGGGGTGAGGTTAGCGATGTTCGCCCTGCGGATGTTCTCTTAGCACAGTACGTGACCCCTTATTATGGTAGCAGTAACAGGACATGGCACTGTTGGTATTTGGACTAAATTTCATTCTGTGGCTGAGCCTGCATTTTGGCAGGCAGGGTCGAGTGCTCTGTCATGGCTTAAAGACTGAGTTGTTGTGACTGCCACGTGCACTCCTGGCATGGGAGGGAGAAGAGGGTGCGTGTGCAGTTTGTTACACATCTCGTTGGTCAAACAGCATGTTAAATTATGTAACCTTTTATTTTCATATAGTTTATTTTCATATAGTTCCCAAGGCATATTTATGATATGAAACAGAAATGACTAAAAACAGTTCTTTTTTGCTAAAGAAATAATCACTAACTCGGTGGTTCTTAAACTTCGGTGTGTACCTGGAGAGTTTTACGGAAGGCTTCTGGGCACTGCGGCAAGAGTTTCTGAGTCTGGTTCTTAGCTGTGCTCTGAGATCTCATGTTTCTCACGAGTTCCTAGCTAACGCCATGGCCCAGAGGGCCGCCCGTGCAGTGGCCTGCTCTGATTCAGCCTCGGTGTGCCGAGCCGTCGCCCCTGCATGCACTTGAGGTGATTTGGGGTTTCACGTCTTTGCTGTCCGCTTTAATATGTTTAATGATCAGTCATCTGCTCCTTTTCACGTTTACCCCTTTAGGCACTTGTTGGGCCCATCACCGCTGTGTGGAGTGGTCACTGGGAGGGAGCCAGACGGAAGAACCATTGTCAGTGAGCGTGGACAGAGCTGTTGTCTCAGGGAGCACAGAAGTAAGTAGAGGAAACTAGCATTTACCCCACTTAATAGTGTTTGCTGTAGTGGGAATTATTTATGAAATAATTATTGTTCTGCAAAAACCCTTAAAATGGGCAGTTGTTAATTTATATTCGAGAGTAGTCTGTAAAACACAACATAATTTGTTAAGTTGTGCAATAAATGTAAATTTAAAAAATTAATATTTTACATTTGAATCAGGCATTTATAGAAATGAGAATGACTGTATTTTAGGACAAAACAGTTTGATGAAAGTTTAAAATGAGAGACAAGATTTGACAGGTCTTTGGTCCACATTGCCAACTTGCTGCATTTGATATTTTCAAGATTGATTTCAGTATTTCTTTTCAGTTGGGCTGGCTGTTCAGTGTTTCTTGGCACTGTCCCCAAGCAGTGTCATGTGCGCAGCCTGCCGTTGTTCAAAGCTTTCTCTGTGATTTTCATGTAATTTTGAAAAATGACACACAAAAAAGAAATGTAACATTTACCTTCCATCTGTAAAGGCAGCCAATCCTGTGCAGTGAATTTGCTTTGCTACCTACAAACTTCCTTTGGTTTTTGACAGGGATATTTGGGAGCACTGAACTAGCCAATCCAAAGGAATTTTTGACCAAATAAATGGTAGGGGCCTTCATGGAGTGAACGTAGGTGAAACTTGAAGCAGTCTATAGAGACAAGAACTTAGATTTGAGTAACTGCTCAGTTTTTATAGCATTGGACTTACCCTGATTACTGGGTGGTCTGCTCATACAGGTGAGTGACTCGCTTCAAGTTTTGTGTGTGTTTTGGAAATGTGATATTAGATTGAAATGCTTGTTTCCAAATTTTGAGCAACGAGCATAATAGTGAAATCCACAGTCAGGACATACATAAATGTCCAGAGGAAGACTGATGATGGGTGAGACCCTTTTCTTTCCTGGACTCATTGAGAAGTAGTTTTGGATCATTTTGTGACATTGAAAAGTATTGTAGGGGGCCTCTCTGGTGGTGCAAGGGGTTAAGCATCGCACTGTGAAGCAGTCCGCAGCCCCTGCGGCATGAGTTCAATCCCCGGCTGGCCAGAGAGAAACCCCCAGGGCCAAGCAGACCTCTCCTGACTCGCCCGCTCCTCCCCTCACCAGTGTGTTTCAGTCAGTCTGCCTGTTCTGTTCCCCACTCTGTCTCTGATGAATCCTCTTACACACACACACACACACACCCCCATCTCTGGTCTGTGCCCCAGCTCTTGTATGCATAAATAAATAAATCTTTTTAAAGAAACACATCACTTTAAAAAAAAAAAGTATTGTAGGAATGGCCGTGAACAAGGTCTCAGGTATACTTGTGGTGCTGGGTTGGGGTTCTCAGTGTTTTTGTGAGGGGAGCCTGGCTGTGGGTTGGTGTGGATACCTGTGGGTCATTGGCCTGTTCACTATCGGTAGAGAGCTTGCTGCACCTTGCTGTTTTATATAGGAGACAACGTTTTGTTCTTTAAGTGCTTGCAGATAAGTTAAATGAGATTTAGAGACCAAATCCATGTCCCCTGAGCAAAGAATGGAGAGACCTGCCTTCTCTGGACCTATCTCGGCAGTAGTACTGGTGGGCAGACATGGGTGGAGGGCAGGCAGAAGGGCTGGGGGCAGCTGTCTCGGCGGCTCTTCCCCTGGACCTGCACTGTCCGAACCTGATACCACAGCCAGGTGAGCAGCCCAGGTGGCAGCACTGACGTGCGTCCTGCTCCTCAGAGAGAACCAAGGCCTCTCCTCGCTGAACGAGACCTGTCCAGGTGCCGGTCCTTGGCTGTGGCGTGTCCCTCAGCTGGGATTGCCTGCTGGGAGTCTGGAGAAGGAGCCTGGAGTGTCCCAAGTGTTCAGAATCACCGGTGTGCTTATCTTTGTGCAGGTTCATGGAATTGATCATTACCCAGAATAACCTCCAGAAGAGAGTGAACCTTTGTGGTTATACATGAGCGACTGGGGAGGGGCAGCCATGAAGATCTGTGGTTTCTCAGAAGGTTCTCAGAAATGCTATTGGACTCAGAATGCATTTTTATTTTGTGCCCAAAGACAAATGTTCTAAATTGTTGACCTTTATCATGTTGCCATGTGGCTGACTGTATTACGATACTTAGCCCTATTCTCAAAGAAAATAAACATTTAATTTACCTCTGTAAGATAAAGCTGACATTTCAACAATGAGAATGTAATGACTTAAGGAAACTTGCTGGGGGTTGACCAGTTTAAGAACAGATGTTTGGAACTATTTCTGTTGAGATTTAATGCCAGAAATAATTTAAATTTGTTAGCAGCAGTTTGTCACCAAAAAATCATGGGCATGAAGTTTTCTGATCTGTTTAAGTTATTCTAACGAGTTTTGGTATGTTTGAAACCCTTTTGTTCAAAGTAAAAATCAGTATTTTTTATCACAGGAGGTGAAAAGGTAGTTACTAAGTAAATTGGGGTAATTGTGGTTGAGATTAGAAAATGGCTGTGAGGTTATGCGTTCCTTCTACTGAGGACTCCCTGTCTTTGTCTTCTTCTTTTAAAAACTATGACATATACTGGAAAAAACTGCAGCTAGACTCAGGCCTTTCCTCTGAGATGGAGGTGAGCAGGATTCCGGCCGCGTGGAAGGTGGCGCTGCGCTGCTAAATTTGAGCTGTGCACGTCTTTTTTACAGGCTCACTGGATAGTGTGTCTGGCCTTATGTCCATTACTGGCCTGTGTAAATCACACTGGTTGTGTGAATCTTTTATTAGTCTTTTTCCCTCCCCCACCGGGGCTGTAAGTGCTCTGAGGGCCTGGGTAACACCTGTTTGGGTTGTCATTCCCCTCCTGCCTAACAAGGTACCTGGGCCCAGAGGCACCCCTGGTTCAGCGCGGTGCCCTGGGCGGGAGGGCTGGCTCCGGGGTGAGGCACTGCTGGCCTCTAGTGGTGATGGCGCGTCTTGCAGGCACAGCAGCCGCGGGAGCAGGAATCCGGGCAGCTTGTCTATTCCCTGGGGTTGTTGAGTGGATTCTTGACCAGGCAGTTTAGTTTTCTGCACCTTAGATGGTTTCTCAGTGTTTTCCCAGGGCGTCTTACCTATCTTTTCCTGGAGGGAAGAGTGTGACAAACCAAGAACCCGTGATTCAGGGCCGGTCATGTTCCTCCTTCCGTCCTCCCTGCCCCAGAGGGGCCACCGCTGGAGGTCTTTGGAGATGAGGGGGTCTAGACAGAGGGCCTTGAACAAGATTTGAAATGTGAGGATGTGTGGGCTTGGGAGAGGAGAATGCCTGGAGAGCCGGTGGCGCGGTGCATGTGGGGGTGTCCTTAGGTTGCACGGCCTTGTGAGGGGTTTCACTAATGAAGTTTCTTAAGAAGAGCAGTGTTTATTGACCTGAACCTCTCCCCACCTTTTGTGGTTAAATTGAAAGAGGTTCACGTGAAGACGAAAGCATTTAGGATTGCTCCTATAATTAAAGGCCAGTGAATTCCTGAATCTGGGTCTTATATGTGAGATGAGAAGGTAGAATGTTGTAGGGGTCAGTGAGGTGGGAGGTTGCAGGTAGGGGTCTGTCGTTTTCAGCCTGACTACGTAGCAAATGGGGAAATTGGTTAGAAATTGCTCAGCTTTAAAACTCACGAAAATTGTTGGGACCCGATGTCTGGGTTGGAGTCAGTGACAGCAGATCAGACCACCAGTGGAGAACGTTAAACAGAGGACAGAAGACGAGGGGAGCGTGATCCTTTGGTCGCGGCTCAGCAGAACATGAAGAGGTGATTGTGGCATGAGATAAAAATGATAGGAAGTGTACTAGGAATTACTGCATCTGGGTTGATACTTAAGGAGGTTTGGCCAATGATTCGAAATGGGGTTTGTGTTACTAGGGCTTCTAAAAGAATTGTCTAAAGAAAACATTATTAAATGGGGGGGTTTCAGGAACCTTCTTTTTCTGACGTTGTGCGCTAACGTCATTGACACTTTAATCATGTCATGCTGCCTGTCTGGACTCAGTTCTTTCTTTTTGCACAGTAAGAAATTGTATTATCTCTTCACTCTAAAATGCTATAGGGACAGCATCAAAGATCAATTATGGAGTCACTTCATCAGATGCTTAGCACGAAGTCCCAGGGCTCGACCTGGGAGCATGTTAGATGCACCATCTTTGCGTTGTGCTTGTGTGCTTACTGTCCAGAGACGCGTGGCACCCTGTGGCTTGACATAAGCGTGCCAGGCGTGGTGTCTGCAGAGCAGGTATTGCTTCCACTGCCACCTGCAGCAGGAAGCTTGTGTTAGGTAGCTCTACCCCGAGGACAGTTAGAAAGCTAAATATTTTTTTTTTTTCAATGAAATATTTAAAGGCCTTAGAGAAGGGCAGGGAGGTGAGGACTTGAGGGAGTGAAAACCCATCGGGGAGGGTTGTGCCTAGAGGTCAGCCAGTCTTGAACTTTCTTTCCCTAGAGACATTTCCCCTGCTTACAAAAGACCAGCTGATGACTGAGAAGCAGTTTCTGGCGAACTGTACACTTGGGATGAAGATAGGGTTAGGGGCCATTTAATACTGTAGACTTGGGTCCCCTAAAACCTGCAAATAACAGCCTGTAGGTCAGATCCGGTCTACCCACCTGCGTTTATACCGCCCATGTTTATACCAGTATAACTTTTATGTTTTTGTATAGCTAAAGTGTTAGACAATGTAGTTCATCACACATGAAAAGCATAGAAAATTCACAATTCGTTGTCCGTAAGTAAAGCTTTGCTGGACGAAGCCACACTCAGGCACTGGCGTGCCATCTCTGGGTCTGCTGCTCCGGCGGTGGCCCATGACGCAGCTGCTGCAGAGGCTGTGTGTGCTTGGCATTGCTGCTGGGCATGCTGCTGACCGTGATGGCTCATCAGCACTGGAGCCTTGCAGTTATGCCCCCACATCATCCGTTTCTTTTACTGCCGGCACACACCTGTCATAGTGCCACAAGGAAGGAGAAGTGCAGGCTATGTGTGTAGCCCCTCAGAGGCACAGTGGGCTGGGTTTTG